GCTGGAAGAAAGTGATTAAGAGGAGGGGGGGGCGGTAGATACTCAACTGTTCTTATTTATTTAGGATGTTTGTCGGTGCATACGTGCGTGCGTAAATTATGATAGATTTGCTTTCCTCTTTCTTTCTTTCTTTTAATATTTTTAAGAAATGGATTTTTCTTCTTTATTTCCTTCCTTGCTATTGTTTGTGTTCAGTCACAGAACCAGATTTCAATTGGAATTTTACTGACAAAATACAGTACACCCTTGGTGTTCTAGGTACCTCCCTCCCATAAATAAATATTTCTTGAAGCTTTTATTTTAGTTTTATTTCCAAACTAATAGATTAAATTTAATATTTCCAATGAGAAAATACTTTGGTATATTTCAGACCGAATTTAAATTGATTGGAACTTTTTTTCTTGTAATCTATAAAATCGGCCATATTGACAAAAATCTGTCAACACAACATAATTCTTTTTTTCTTTTTATTAAAAAAAAAAAATTCTTTAAAAAATAAAACCTACTTTTGTGAAACTTTATTTATGGAATATTAACTGATGGAAAGTTTATTCTGAATTAAAACAAATATTACTTACCTTTTTAAAAAAAAAAAAAAAAATATCACAAAAATCATTTTTAACACAGATGTGTTTTTGAGGTGCTGGGAGATTAAGTAAATGGCCCATAACTGCATAAGTGACATGACAAATACAACATGAATGCCTATTTTATATATATATATATATATATATATATATATATAAACTACCTGATAAAAATTTAGGAAAATATTCTAATTTAGTATTTTATTGAATTTTAGGAAATTTGGCTTCTGTCTGAACAAGCCTCTTTGTAAGAGACTTGTTCAGGAAATGTTAGAAAATTACCAATACATTTTAAATTTAGTTACTGCTCTTATTTTCTGATAATGTTGTGTATAGATGCTCAGATTTACAAAAATCCTAAATTCTTCTGAAATTGTTGAGGGTTGTTGAATTGTAAGCTTTTCCATTTATAACTTAAGTAAATATAGATTTTATTTAATAACAATATTAACCTCTACAAATTAATATAGAATTTTTAGATTTAAAACTTCATAAATTATTATTAAAATTGAAAAAAAAAATTTTTTTTTTTTTTTTTTTTTCTAAACAGTAGTGTCCATAATATATCTTATTTATAAAAGCAATTAAGTTTTTTTTAAGTAAATAATGTATTAGTTTTATTGCTTTTTTATTTTATGATTCAAAGCAGATTTTCTGTGACTAGTGGCCCTGTATGAGAAAAAAATGTTGATTTAAATTCTCCAAGAAATTACCAAGATTTTCTTAAAAACAAAACGTTTGTAAAACAATTTAATTTAAACTAATGGAAGCGTTTTTTTTTTTTTTTTTTTTTTTTTAAATAAACAGATGCGCAACGTTGCATGTAATAAATTATAAGAGGTCATTTGATAAAAATTGCCTGAAGATACCATAAGGTAGCAGATTCAACTGATCTCCTGAATTTTAAAGTTAAAAGCTCTACATGTTATTTTTATACTTCTTTTTTTTTTTTTTTTTTTTTCAAACATGTATTGAGCACTTTTTAATACCACTGTTCCTGGTTAGATTCAACTCTGACCATTTAACTTTATGTATTTTATATATGTGCACACACTGGGTACATCACCTACACACACTGGATATTGAACTTCAGTATTTGGTTTATCACTATAATTGAAGTGTTACTATGGAACAAATGTTTTCAAAAAGCCACTTTTTTTTTTTTTTTTTTTTTTTTTTTTTCTTTTTTTTTTTAACCCAATAATATGAATAAAGTATGTTTAAATTTTTTTTTCTTTTAGCTTTCTGAATTTTTTAAAACATTTAACTGTTTTTCAGAAGTGAATGCACATACATCTTAAATGAAGAATAAACAAATATACACTTTCATTAATTTATGTAAATTTTTGTTCTTTAATTTTAAATTTATTCGATTGTTCTTAATTGAAATCATTTTAAAAAAAAAATAAAAGTCAGTTTTCATGTACAAAACCACAAAAACCAATAACTGTAAAAAAAAAGTCAAATTTCGATTTTACGCTGTAACAGTATTATGAACAGGACCCCACCCCCTACTAAAATGATAAAGATATCAATATATTTTTGATTCTGACAAGTGTCAAGGCCTAAGGAATACCTGAAGAATGTTAATGTACAAAAATTATCCCCCACCCCATTCTATTCCCATAATACCAAGGCAACAAAAGGATTTTCTTGTTCTTGCAAGTCCATTCAGTCTGGTCTGCATAACTAATTTCCACCACTCCCTATTATTTTTATCTTTTACTACTAATTTTGACTATCTTTAGAAGGGGTAGGTAACATGTCCCCTCTCCATCAGAATTAAAGCTACCAAGCAATTAAATGTCTCTGCACTGTATATATCACAGTTCTCTTCTACTTTTTTTTTTTTTCCTTTGGTCAAAGGGCCCCTAAAATCATTGGTTTGTTGAAATCTGTCCATAAAGTAGTGAGAAGGGCCAAAGATTAACTTCAACCCTTTCTTCAACCCTAATAACCCAACAATAGGTGAGGGGAAAACCTGTTCACACCCGTGAAATATATTCATGGGGCAGGCAGAAATAATAGGATTTGTGTCTGTGAACTATAAAAAGCTTAAGGACTTTCTTTTCTTCAGCCTCCCACTCATTCCCTGATTTCCCCCTCCCCAACTATCCCCAGATACCTTGGTATGGTTCTCCTATTTGAAAACTGTGAATGTCATTTGTAAGTTAAACTGGATTGTCTATAAATAAACCTTAGTAAAATCAACAGCTTTTTGCTAAACAAATTTCATAAAAAGAAAGTAGCTTTGAATTATTTTTCTGGAAATTAATAATTATTTAAAGAATGGTAAGGTCCTAAAGAATCGACAGTCAGTTTTGGATGAAGAAAATTCAACTCTTGCTTCTGGAAAGTAATTTTTATTTTCTTTGAAAATATGGTGGAGTAATGGATAGTAGCTCGGATTGAGAGCTGAGTTCAAATTCCAGTCAAATCCATTACATTCACTTACTTGCCCTTGGGAAAGGTATGAATCCTCCTCTTCTCCCCCAGCTATAGGTAAATAGCAGGACAAACCAGATTGGATACCAACTGGTTTACCACAGGAAGAAATGACAACCTACTGTGGGGAAAAAAATCTGCCTCGTCAGTCATGTATCTTTCAATACATGATCACCTAAGCGTGTATCATGCATGGCACATAAATGACTGATATATACTGAACCTGGAGTTGAATGGACCAAAAAATATCATTTATTGAAATTAGTTTTTGTTTAAGAATGGGAAAGTGATAGGCAAACATTTTATTTACAACTGTATTGTGTTGTATAGTTACTTTGCAACAGATAAAAATGTCAGGCTTTTATACTTTCTTTTTCTTTTTTTTCTTTCTTCTTATTATTTTTTTTAACTCATGATGAAAACATTGCTTAAATTTAAAAGCTTCTCATGAGACAGTTGAAGTATGAATGGGCAAAATTGCCAAAACCTGATTATTACTGACCATGCCCCAAAAATATTTTCCAAACATTAAAAGAACATCATATTATGAGTAACCTTCATACATCAGCTTTAAATGTAGTGCAACTTGATAAAAAATTTTTAAATAATTAATAAGCAACTTTCAATGGTATTTAATGAAACTTCTATAAATTAGAATCTAAGTACACATATTAATATTATTAAAATAGAAGTAAAAAATGTTCACTACTTATCAAAGGTCCACTAAGAGTTTTTTGTTTTTTTTGTTTTGTTTTTAAATCACTCATTAGGCCTTTCAACATGAATGATTGTATTAATCACAAAAAATCTATTTTATGAATGCATATTTATCTGCTAACATTCAAATTTAAAGTCTCCAGTTACAAGTGTTAATCTCACAAGTTCCTCACAACAATTGAAAAGCCAGATAATCATCTTGAGTTTGGTAGTTTAAATTACTGATTACAGTAGTTAATCACACAACCTCTTCACAATAACTAATCATGTTTGTTTCTTCCTTAAAACTGCTGTATGTCAATTTTATGATGATACATCTACTTAATAATCTATACTTATATTTAATAGTATATTATTGAATTATATCAAACAAAATTACATAAAGATTATAACATTAAATAATTTAGTCATATTTAACCGATTCTACTAAATTTCCATTCTACCTTTTGTTCTTCTTTAAATGTTGTATTTTAGTAGATGTATGCGTTTGAGTATATGCATTTTTGGATGGAGTGTTTTTTTGTTTTTTTTTTTTTTTTAGTGAATTATATATGAGAAAAGATGTTTGATTAAAAATAAAATCCATTAATTCCTTAGAAATTATCATATATAATATTACAAATTTCAGGGCCCTTCTAATGGGACCTGACCCTATCAAGCAGTGATGTTTCATGGTATACCAAAATTAATTAAACAGAAAATTTTTGCTAGACTAGCGAGATATTTCTCAGCCTGTATTTGAGCTCACTATTTGTAACAATGCTGTCTTTCTAAGAAGGTAAACATCCCCTCTATATATGGAAGACAGAATGACCCAATACAAAGTTTTGGACACTATCTTGTTAATATTACAACAGTGCTTAATATCACTTATTCAAGACAATACCAAATGTATCCATTTTTGGGTATCTTTCATCGTGTAACGGTTAATAAGCTGTTCTTGAAGACCAAGTGACTTTTCCATTGAGTTTGGTTTTCACTAAGGCTAATACTAACTATTATTATAAACTTAGCAACTTGTTTCCTTGTGCCAAACTTAGAAAAGTTTAGTAAATATAAAAAAATATAACTTTCTTGTTCACTATATTTATTTTATATAATTACAAATTATTTTTTAAAATGTATTGCTTTTATTTAATTTTTATTTAATTTTTATTTTTAAATTATTTAATTTTTTTCAGGCAACACAATTGGATTGAAAGAATTGAAGCCAAAGTGCTAAATGGCTTACCGAAATTAAGAATCTTGGACATGAACTTTAACCAGATTTGCCGTATCACTATTGGAACATTCCATGCTGGTCTCAGCATACAACAGCTGTAAGTAGAAAGAAAAAATTCCTTTCTGTTATTTATGGCTATTTTGTTTTTTCATTGTTTCTTTTAAAGCTGAAAGAATTTAGAACTTCCCAGGCAACTGAATTATCACTTTTTTTCTGTCGTCGGCTGATTCTATTTGGTTACCACATGGAAATTAGATGGTTTGGGAAGAGATCAGTTTCCTCATCCTTACTTTGTTTAATTCTATCTCTGTTGTCCTGTCCACCATCACATTCACTCTTCATTGACTAACTAGTTTAATCTCACATTTAATCTTAGGATTATTAACCTTTATCACTCTGTGATTTCATTTGCTGTGCAAAAAGTTTATCCTGCCACTGAAGGTGACTCTGATCCTTGAATTTGTTTGAATTTCATAGTTGTGTTGCTATATCCTGCTATGGCAACAGAAAACACTTTTAAGTGAAATTAACAATATATTACTACAACATAGTCATTGAAAAAGAATATAGTGGAAAAGGAAATAATATTAATAATGCAAAGTGCTAAAAGTTAAGTAGATAAGAACTGAGACCTGTTACATGCCTGGGGTTTCTGGACCATTTTATCAAGGTGCAATGTATAAATCTTTATTGATGGGGTTCATTGAGTGCTAGTTTTGGTGTCAATATTTTAAAAGGATTTTCTTTCATTATTTTATCTTTATTTTTTTTATATCCTTTGAATATTAAGGACTTCCCTAGTATACAAGAATCCTTCTCCCCCCCATACACAGTGCCTACTTTTCTTTTCCTTTTTTTTTTTTCTTTGTTCGGACAAAGGCTCAAAAATATCTCCCAGCTTTTATATGCAAAGTTGGAGTATCTAGCAGACTATTATTTACCTATTCACTATAAATTATTAATGCTTGTATCTAACCTAACTCTATAAACCCTTTTTTCTTTCTTCTAACCAATTCACCCCCAAGCAAGGTGATAATGCCACTAAGACGCAAGGGGGTTACTGGGAATGAAAGAGAAGGCGAAGACTTCAAAAGGAACCGGGAACCTAATCCTAAAGAGGAAACCAGAGATAAACCTCTACCCCTTTTCAAAAGACTGGGGAGGAGAGTGAACTAGATGATACATAAACAATAAATAAATCTTGTATTCCATCAAATATTATGGCCAGCTTCAGAATATTCAGTCTCAATGTAAATTTCTCTTGAAATGAATATTAATTCTTATAATTTACAGCAGATAGTGGCAGGTTAGTTTGTATTTGCTTGTCACTCATTAGATGTAAATTTCAAGTTGATGTTTCTCCAAAATAAAATTTCATTCTATATCAATCATTTTAAGTCAATGAAATTCATTCCAAGTTTTGGACACTCACTCGTTAATACTGCAAAAGTGCTTCATATAATATATAAGTGTATAAATGGAAGAGTTCAATCGGCTAGTCAGTTAACCTCAAGTTTTAAAGCCTGTCTTTTTTACAAAATTACATTTTAAAACCAAGCCTTGTTCTGCGGCTAGAGGTCAAAGATGCAAGCCATTCATGAACAAAACGTAATGAACTGGAGTTTTGATACAACCAGATTACACTAACGATGACATTTTTTTTTTTTTAAACTAATTGGCCAACAAGTATTATACCAATATAAGATCAGCCACAAAGGAAATAGCAAACATAACATACTTTGTAAGAAACCTAGGAAAGAAATTAGTTCCAGTTTAAATGAATCTCTGATGGCCCACCAGGAATGAATCAAATTTTGGTTACAGTTGGGGTCTGCTCTATCCTAGAATGTATTTTTGTTTTTTAAAGAATAGTTTTAAAATGCAGATAATGAAAATGATTTTTCACAGACATATCTGCATAAAAGTGCACCCAACCATCTTTCTATAATATTGGAAGCTTGCAGCTATGAAATCTTTACGCTTTTCTATATTTGAAACAATGCTTTATTCCGTGCACAGTTATTGACATCTTTCAGTATTTGTATCTTGCTTAGATTAAATACTGAACTTTCTCAGCTTTTATAAAAAATATAAAAGAACTTCAATAACGAAAGTATTGTTTTATTTTAAGTCTGTATAGTTTCTCATGTTATTTTGATCCAGTTTATGCTTGTAAAATCAATGCCAAAGTTTAAAGGTTTGCTTCTACCAATTTATTCAAATTGGCTTTGGTCTTAACTCAGATATGCTAGTTTCATTCTATTCATGAGATTGGATCTTCCTTGACAAGCTTCCAATAATTTCTGTTTTCTATTTAAAGTCTTTAAGAGATGCGATTTATTTTTTTTTTATTCTTTATCAAAAAGAATTGTAGTCGCCTCCTTCCAATTTATTTTCTGTATAATTGGTGTAATATAAGATTTTTTTTTTTTTTTTTTTCATTCAGTGGGATTAGGACACAAAATTTCACAATTTGCCTCTGTCAACAATTTTTTGTTTTTCTCTTGTAAGGGAGATAAATGCAGATTTTTATCTATATTCTGATGCATAAACCATACAAGCACTTTGTGTGTAATGCCATTTATATCGTGCCCCTAGGGTGGTGCATGTTGGGTGAAGAGTGAGGAGACAAAGAGGCAAATCAAGAAAATCTAGATTGTATTTTATTCTTTGATATCAACAACATCTCTGAATTAGCATTTATACATCTCAACCACAATAATATGTGACTAATATACAATAAGGAAAACGGTACACTGATTTTTCAGAAAGATTTATGCAAACTATTCTTTGGTTACTTCTGATGACACTGTGTGTGTGTGTGTGTATATATATATATATATATATATATATATATATATATATATAGTTTATGCAAATTTAGGTAATCCCGTATGGGTAGACCTGAGGAGGATGATATCAGAGAGCTCAATGTAAAATTCAGAGCAGATATGTTTGAATAAAAGACAGACCACGTTGATTCCATGTAATAAGCTATTTCACCATAACCCCTTTTAACAGGGTTCTGGATCATCAGACTTTAGTTCCAAAAGCTAAAATGAAAAGAAATTCACACGTTTTTTACGGACCTCATCAAGTATACGCCAAGTTAACGAAGTGAGGAAGTGAGGGGGGAGAGGATATGAGTGTGTCATATGTATCATTTAGTTTCCTATTTTAACTACCCCAGTGTGTCGGCTGGATGTTGCTCAAATTTAACGCGTCTCGTTTCTAGATAAAAAGGTGGCTAAGGGGTGAGCGATAAGAACTACATTAAAGGAAGACGTTACAACAACCCCAATAAATTACACGACAGGTTTCATTCAAATTCTTAGACGCTGTCAGTTAGCGTTACTTTAACGTGCATATTTGGGAGGTTAAGGTTTGATAAATATCTAAATTTTAAAACAATCTACGAAGGAATTAATTTGAAATTCGGTGGAGTTTTGGGTATTTTCTATGAAACAGTCGATTGGAAAAATCCATAGACAGAACATTGAAAGAGCAATCCAATTTATATATATATATTTGATTTTTGTTCGTTAAGTAACCTCGTGGTTGTTTTTATATACCCAATTAATGTATGTATGTACACACACACACACACACACAGTGTGACAGAATATATAAATAAAAATTTTGCATTCACCACATATCGTCCTTTGTATGCGTTCTGACCTGTAATTATTTATTACAGGTTTTGAATATGAATTTGGGTGAGAGAGAGAGAGTCCCCCTCACTCACGCACACATTTTACTTTATCAGAGAAATTTCATTATTAATTTGTCTGGAGGCAGTGCAACTATTTTAATCATTATATCTCTTGGGCTTTTAATGCTACCTTCCACCCCCTTTGACAGTTGTCATGATACGGTTATTTTTATTTTCTAAATATGACATTCTGCTTCTATTGTTTGTATCTGGTTGTTTTCGTGTTGATCTCTTTTGTAAAACTGCAGATATAAATTTTGCACTTTACTAACTATTAAGAAGATGAAAGATGATGCTGATCTTTGTGTGTGTGGTTTTCAATCTAATCTACCCCACCCGCATCCCAACAACCATCTGAAGGAGCCCCTGGGTATTATTACTACTACTACTACTATGTCAGCCATCAGTTCCCATTATAATTAACAATGACATATCTGTAGTGTTAGTAGCAGGGTGCCATTAATAACAAGTCATTTAAGAATTAACGCTTCTCTCTTCATATATGGGTTTCTTTCCTTAGGTATTATTTTTACATTACATCTTTTTTCTTTCTTTCTTTTCTGTCTTGAAATCCTTCATTTTATATTCAAAAGGACCTCTTCTCTTTTCTTCACCTTTCTATGCATATAGCCTGAGTAATTTTCTAACTTCCTGAAACACATAAGCCATTTGCATTGTAATTGTCATAGTTTATGGTAAATCATGGAAAACAGTTATTAGAAACTCATAGTGTCCGTTTGTGGCTATCATTGCCGACCCTTCCATTATTTACAACCACTCGATGTGTATCTCTTTGTACCAACTTGAATTATAGACGGATAAATACCACCTGGCTGCCTGAAATGAATCTGCAGTTTCTCTCGTTTCTAAAATCACTTTTTGCTTCAATAACAAACATACATCTGTACATGTTCTTCACCTATTTATCATCTGCTTGCAAACTAGTTTGTTGGAATTTCGATTATTTTAATTTCAGTGGCAAACTTCCAATTTCTGGTGATGATTGATGTGGTTAACAGAACATCTGTCTGTCAGAAAAATCTGTCCCAGCAACTGTTCATTTCATCTAGTTTCATGCAATATGACTATTTGACTATGTCATGGCTTTTTAACAAAGCAGTATTAACATTTAGTGGCAATATTTTGTGGATGCATCTGACCCCTTGGTTGAAGGTTTTCTGGCAGTAAATGTTAAATGTTGAATTTCAATAAAAGCACCCTACATACAATGAAAATATGTATAACAAAATTTAATAGTATATTGATCCAGAAAAATTTATTGAAATTTTTTATGAGGATATAAAAATGTATCTATGCATTTTTAAAATATACACTTTAATATGACTGTGTGTAATATATATATATATATATATATATATATATAT